CCCCCTCTTACAATGCTGTGATTGCTAGTATCACTCAGCCCTCTGTGAACAGTAAACAGCCATCAGTGTGCTAATGATCCATTGTTAGGCTGATGGTCCTTCTTGAGCATGTGATCAGCTGGTTTTGGTTGTCAGCAGCAAAACTGGTTGATCCACTCTGAGACGGTGCTATTTAAGAGACTGAGCTGAATACAGCTCCTCAGACTGAGGAAGTCTCTCGGATGAGAGACGAAACGTTTCTACATTTTTTTGTTGATTTGCTTTGTTTTGTTTTTTTGAATGTCCAGAGGACCAGATTTAACTTTTTTAGACAATAAATGGGAGTTTTGTTGTACAGAGTTATGCATTTACAGATAAGGGTGTGCTTCAGGTCTTTTTGTTTGGTTAAGAAGAAACACCAAATTGATTACTTTTTTCCAAGCAAAAATTAAATAGGCACTCTTATCGTTCCCATTGGCCTTGAGTTTTTATGTGTTGGGAGTTTAAATTCATGTCTCTGCATGTGCCTTTGTAGCTCCCCATCGTCCTGTCCTCCTTGGTGTTCCTGTACTTCCTGGAGCTGACTGATGTCTTGTCACCGGCGATGGTGGGCTTTCGTTGCTATGACCAGGACCTCTCCATGCCCTATGTTGAGACCGGTGAAGAGCTCATACCTCTACTGATGTTGCTGAGTTTGGCATTTGCTGGTCCTGCAGCTTCTGTAAGTCTCATGCCTGATTACTTTTATTTTGTTTGTTTTTGGGTGTAATGGCTTTAGACATCTCTAGTCTAATGAATTTTCAAATTTCATGCCTGGGATTAATAAAACGTCCGTCCGTCCGTCCGTCCGTCCGTCCGTCCGTCCGTCCGTCCGTCCGTCCGTCCGTCCGTCCGTCAGTCAGTCAGTCAGTCAGTCAGTCAGTCAACTTTATTTATAAAGCACATTTAAAATAGAACCTTTCATCAAAATGCTTAACAACAACAACAATCAATGAGAGTAAAATTAAAGAGAAAAAAATACAATACACTAATAATAGGGGCGGCTGTGGCTGACTGGTTAGAGCAGTCGTCCTCCAATGCGAGAGTTGGGGGTTCAAATCCAATGTTCAATTAGCTTTGTAGAAATCTTGTAGAGTGCTGTATGAATGGGTAAATGAGGACACAGATTGTAGTGAAAAGCACTTTGAGTATCTTGAAATAAGATAGAAAGGCGCTATATAAGTACAGTCCATTTACCAATTACCATCCATCCATCCATCCATCAATTTTCTTTACCCGTTTATTCCATTTTGGGTCACGGGGGGTTGCCGGTGCCCATGTCCAGCAATCACTGTGCGAGGGGCGGGGTACACCCCGGACGGGTCGCAAGTCCATCACAGGGCCACATAGAGACAAACGAGACAAACAACCATTCACTCTCTCACTCACACCTAGGGACAATTTAGAATTACCAATCAGCCTGACATGCATGTTTTTGGTCTGTGGGAGGAAACCGGAGCACCCGGAGAAAACCCACGCATGCACGGAGAGAACATGCAAACTCCACCCAGAAAGGCCCCTGGACCGGGGTTTGAACCAGGGACCTGCTCGCTGAGAGGCAGAAGCTCTACCAGTTGCACCACCGTGCTGCCCTACCAATTACCATAATAATAATAACTGAAGAATTAATAAAAAGCATTTAAAACATAGGGTCACAGATAAAAAAAAAACCACTAGATCAATTTACACTGTGTGAAATGCCTGTGAGAACAGATGAATTTTAAGCAGGGATTTGAAGTGAGGAAGGGAGGTGGCCTGCCTGATGTTGGGAGGCAGGTTGTTCCAGAGTTTGGGGCCCATGACTGAAAAAGCCCGATCTCCTCTGAGCTTCAGTCTTGTTTTTGGAACAGCCAAAAGCAGCTGATTGGATGATCTCATGGTCCGAGAGGGAACATAAGGTTCCAGAAGCGCAGAGAGGTAAAGGGGTGGGAGGCAATTTAGGCACTTGAAGGTCAACAGAAGAATTTTAAAGATCATCCTATTACGAACGGGGAGCCAGTGAAGGGAGGACAGAACTGGTGTAATATGTTTAGACCTACGAGTTCCAGTTAAAAGCCGAGCAGCAGCATTCTGGACGAGCAGAAGACGTGAAATGGAGGCCTGGCTGACCTCAGCATAGAGTGCATTGCAATAGTCCAATCGGGTCGTGACAAAGGCATGGACTAGTTTCTCAAGGTCGGGTCTGGACAATACTGGCTTGAGCTTAGCTACCAGTCAGTCAGTCAGTCAGTCAGTCAGTCAGTCAGTCAGTCAGTCAGTCAGTCAGTCAGTCAGTCAGTCTTCCCTCCCTTCCTTTCTCCCTCCCTCCCACATACGCACACATACACCACAGGAAGTATAAGAAAAATAGGGGGTTTATTTTAATCCCAAAAGATTATATTTTACAAAAATGACAGCTGAGCTCATGAGGTCAAAGGATCAGACCATTAAGACACAATAGGGGTAACTAAACGTAATACAATCACTAACTACAACAACCAACACTGTACAGCTAAGTTTGATAATAAACTAAACACCAAAAGTGGAAATCAAAAACATTCAACTTTAAATACAAATATTCACTTAAATACAAAAGCTTTTTTAAATAAAGTACAAGTTCCCCCTCTCGAGCATGAACTGGTGGTGCAGTCCAATCAGCTCCATGTATTTAAGTGTGCTAAGCCTTGGCCACCATCTTTTGTTTGACAATTCCCAGGGATCATGACAGGTAAGAACCAGTAAAAGAAACAAGAATTAATCATAAGCACAAACAAAAATGTACAATGAGTTAATATAAATACATAAGTAAACTAAATGTGCATGCTTACATATAGAACAAATATATCAAAACCAACCAATAAACATTTTGTTGCAAACTAAAGTGTTGTTTGGATAAAAAACAAATGGTGCATATAAGAGTTAATGACTTTAGTGTGTGACCATGGGTTTGGCCATCACACACACACAACGTTTTTATACTTCCCAAAATGGAGATTTAAAAAAAAAAAAAAAAAACATAGTTGCTGGGGGGCTCCATGTAGACATGAAATAAAGCTTTTTCAGAAACAATACATTTTTTGCTTATACCGACTCAGTTTGTACCCTAAAAACACAAATATGGAGCTGTTTTTTGCATCTGTCTTGCTTCATTTTGAGCCTTCCATTGTCAAATGTTGATCTTGTGTTGTTACAATGATTATAACTGAAAGTATATTGTATATGTGAAATAAATGGCCAAATCATGTCATTTTAGTATTTTTTTTTATGTATTTTGCCATCTCATCAACGTCAATGTTCTTGCCACATAGGTAGCTCGGCATGTCATTAGATTAGGTAGAATTAGTTGACAGAAACAAATGTAATTAAATAGGAAATTTTCATTAAATAATTTGATGTATTGTACAATCTGGGCCTTTGATAAAATACTTCAACGTAAAAGAATTTGATCAGTTTTTAAATTGTGTTTTTCAAATAGGTATCAATTCTTGTCTGCTGAGAAATCAGTCACACAACACGGCATACGTATGTAGAAAAAAGTTTTCATCCAAGCTACATTTCTAATTAACGTCACCCTACTATAAAAGAAGACTACACAAGCCAATTTTAAACCTCAACATATATTTGCACAACACTAATTGTTTAGTTTGTTGTGGTTTTCTCAACCATATTATCCTACAAATGTGTGTAATGAGCATAGACTGTTATATGCTGATAGTTCTAAGGCTGCTTATGTACAGGTCCTTCTCAAAAATTAGCATATTGTGATAAAGGTCATTATTTTCCATAATGTAATGATAAAAATGAAACTTTCATATATTTCAGATTCATTGCACACCAACTAAAATATTTCAGGTCTTTAATTGTTTTAATACTGATGATTATGGCATACAGCTCATGAAAACCCAAAATGCCTGTCCCAAAAAATTAGCATATCATGAAAAGGTTCTCTAAACAAGCTATTAACCTAACCATCTGAATCAGCGACGTAAATCTAAACACCTGCAAAAGATTCCTGAGGCTTTTAAAATCTCCCAGCCTTGTTCTTTACTCAAAACCACAA